TCATTCCGAATAGATCTAAATTTTGCCCAAGAAGATGGAGTATTATGTAGCTTAGCTTTGGAATGCTGGCGATTTCTATGTCTAATTTTGAGTCTGATACCATTAGTCATCCAAATTTTATCATTAGGTCTTATAGTTACTGTTTTATGGGGCACGAATAGGTCGATAGCAGTTAGGTTTTATCAGTTAAAAGAGAGTTCATATTTTCAATATCACCTTGTAATAAAAGATTCCAGTCAATGGACTTAAGATACGCATTTGCCCCGTCAAAGTCAGTGCTTTTGAAGTATAATAAAGTCTTTTTATATGCATGTTTCTTTAAAGTTTTAAATTTCAGATCAGCGCTAACTGGACAGTGATCACTACAAGAGGGAGGATGTACTATTGTACATGTATTTTTAATAATGTTAACGTTGTTTGTTAGTATAGTGTCAAGTGATGTTGAGGTCTGGGAAGTAATCCTGGTAGGTTCAGTAACTGTTTTCTAACCCATATTTCAACAAAATTCTATGTAGATGTGAGTTTGGATTTAGATGTAACATGTCTTGAGATTTATATCACCTACCAGGACTACTTCCCTTTGCAGATCAATAATATTATTTAGGTTAATATCTAGCCTGTCCCAGTAGCCAACGAGATAGTAAGGGGTCTATATATACAGCCAAGAAGAATAGGTTTATTATGGGTAGTTACTTCAGTCCATATTAATTCAAGATCATCTGTCTCAAGGTCAGGTCTACGTTTAATATTAATATTATGTTTAGTATAAATCAGAACTCCGCAACCATAATTACCTCTATCCTTTCTAAAAATATTACCAAAGTTTTCCAAAGATACAGCACTATCAGGAATTGAATTATCCAGATGAGTTTCAGAGACGCAAAGTATATCGTATTCGGAAAATTCAGCATCAAGAATATGAGTTTTGTTCCTTAACGAACAAATATTGATATGACAAATAGAAATAAAATCTAGGTGGATGTGGGAGTTGGGTGGACCGGGGTTCGGGTGAATATCACCGCATATGGATAATATATATAATAAAATAAAAATGTAGTGCAAATTCAGAGAGAATAGATTCAGAGAGACACTAATGATACATAAACATTTATAAAGTAGTGAGTCATTCCCTGTCGTTACAGCACCAAGATAGTTTGTTTTATCCATTTTCAAAAGGAAACGAATATGTAGAAAATACACCCTGGTAGAGTAAGAGCAGAGAATGACACAGATAGGTTTTAAGTTCAGTCCTTGCTCCTTTTTTGTTTTTACTATATATTAATGATATTGGTGATGAATTGGCCTCAAACTTCAAACTATTTGCTGATGATACCTCCTTATATGGTCTCATTGAGGGAGACAGGCAAGAATGTGCTACATGTAATATATTAAATGATGATCTAAGGAAAATTTCAATCTGGGCTAGAAAATGGGGAATTATCTTTAATCCAGATAAAACTGTAGCCCTGCTCTTCTCGAGGCGGGTTGACTCTGAGACACTCCATCCTAACCTATATTTTGATGAATCATCAACTATTAATGTTTCTAATCATAAACACCTAGGTTTGTTTTTCAACAGCAAGGCTAATTGGTGTAACCACATTAACTATATATACGAAAAAGCTTATTCATGTGCATAATATACATGTTTTATCATTACTTCAATTCAATATGATGTGTGCAAACTGTTTATAACTGTAAGGAGATGGCGTTCATTGCCCAATACCTTTGTATCTAAGATCTCAACAATAAATATTCTGAAATGAAAATGATACCCAGAGCTACAGATAGAACATTTACTGTTCTAATGATACTCATAGCTACAGATAGAACCTTGGTAGGCTAATGTGTTGTTAGTTAGGAATATCAAAGGAAAAGACATTTTTAAGGACATAAAATTATTTTTGGCATTATGATAGTGTTGTAGATGTCTACACATGTAATAAGTGTCATTTTACCACCAATCAATATGTCAGGAAATGAAATTATTACCTCTGAAAAAAACCGAAATGATATAGATGTAGTTTCATGTGGTTTATTACATCTTCTATATATAGAACATAGCTTACTGCAATATGGAACACAGGCAAGGCCTGGATCGATATTGTAAAGTCAGACACTGAAACCAGCAAAAACGAGCTTACATCAACCAACATCGAGCTCACATAAAGATAAAGCTGCTTTTGTTTCTTTCAAATTTTCTTCAACATGCTTTTCAAACTAGAGTTGTATTTAATGCTTGAACAACAGAACAAGAAAGTGTAGAGTTTAATAGAAATACTAATTGTGTTATGAGTCAATACGTAACATCTCATGACATTGTCTTCATAATTTATGCATAACCTTTTCGAATTCAGTTAACATTCATATGAGGAAAATAAAGGGCCAGTTGCATGGATTAGATGTGAATATGTTAACTCGATCACTAAATTTTCATTGCTACATTTATAACCCTTCTTTCATATAAAATGCTATCTCATTTTGTTAGCACGAACGCTCTAACATTTCGTTACTGTTGAATATACCATTATCCTGTATGTGATATATATATATAAAAAAAAAAAAAAAGACAATTCAGAAGTGTCAAGAAACCGTTTTTGTAGCTGAAACTCGATAAACTAGTGCAAAATATAGGTAAAAGTACAGATTTACATGGAGACTCATTAATCAGTGCAACAAGATCAAGACCAGGTGTTCGAGAAGAGTAAACATTTTTGGCTTTGTCAGCGACACCTGCCACGTTTAAATAAAGGTCTTATCTAAGTAATTTACCTTCTTGAAGCCAGAACCGAGTTGGTGACAATGAGAAAGCAATGCACATGTTTAGTGTAATAAAACATTCACTTCATATCAAACAAGGAAAGGGCATGCTTTTGATATGTTCACGATAGCGACCATAAAACTAGCCTTACGTTTTTATCAGTTCTATCGCTAGAACCCTTGCTTTATAAGAAAGCTGTATTTCTTTTAAGTTCCCTCGATAGGCGAACATATTTTTACGCTTTAGCAAGTATGCTTAAAATTACGTTATCATTCCAGTTCTGTAGAGGTACATGTATTTACCTCATTCATAGAATTTGCCGTTGTTAAGTCATGTGAATAGAAACGTCGTGCTGATTGGACCACTTGTGACGCGTTGGATATACATTTCCAAATTAAATGCCAAAATTAATGTTTTGTATTCATTTTAAATCATTTGCATGAGAGGGTAGCGGTGGCGGATAGGTAAAGACGTCTGACCGTCTACGATCAGTAGCCGTCCGCCACTGAATCGTGGGTTACAGTTCTACGTCGTTCAGTCGTCAGGTACTGGCCGTGATGTTTGTATAGAAATAAATCAAACAATTTGTATGAAATTTTCGCTTATTTGGTCAATATCAAAACTTGGAAATAAGTCTTAATCCGTGTAGAAAAACTAATCACAAGACTTTTATTTCATTAGACATATAGATGTATTTTTATTAACTATATACAATGTATTATTGACATACATGTAAATATGCTGCTTTATATCTGGCAATAAAACATATAACCTGAAGCTAGGTCATCTCTGTGATGTTTAAACATTCAATAAAACTTAACAAAATCTTAACGCGTCATTGCAATTAACACCCGATTGCGTATAGGACAATAGCTAGGCTACATGACCAACACCAATGTTTCTGTGTGATCGATTTTATTCAAGTCGCCAAGGTGAATTCATCTCTGACATGACCCATTATTTTTATTGTGATAAATAGTTGCTAGACCCGACCTGATTTTTATTTAGATGCAACACTAGTCGTGTCCACAATGACATGCTCATGCAGACGTAAGAATGTAATTGATGACCACAATGATTGCAGTGAATGCAATAAATCAATTAGTAGTTGCAGGAAATGACCCTGCATATATAAGGTTGTTGCAGCTATAACGGGAGAAAATCACAGTGCATTGTAATTGGAACTAGCCTATGTCAAAGCCAGGAGCTATTATTCATGTTATTAAAATCACCTTCTTGTAAAGGTCATTGTTACTGGGACAAGGAACGCGACAACATTTGAAATAAAAAAGATTTTATTATACAACAATGGGAAAGTCCCGAAACCTTTAGACAATGCACAGATTACAGATAAATATTCTAACATGTTCATATGTACAAAATTTTAAATGAAATGACAAACAATTTTCGACATCTCTTTATAATCTTGAATTTGTCCTGACTCATTGGGCTATTAAAATAAGGGTTGGGTGTGCGGGAATGGCAATGATCAACACGAAAAAGAAATTAAATGAATAAAATTCATTGAAAGTTGATGACAACTTAGTAAGGAAAATATTTTTGAAACGATTGACAAAAAGTAATATCATTGTATCCATTTCGAAGATTTTTTTTTCATTTTTTTTTTCATAAATGAATGTTACTAGAATGGTAAATGAACAAAAGAGGTAGCTTAACGATGGTGTTTGTAATGGTTCATGGAGGAAGGAAATAATGAAAAGAAAATTAAACCCGTTGAACAATACAAAATATTTCTGGTCATCATGTGTAGAATATGGAACCTGGTGTCAATCTAGTGAGTTTTAGGAGAGGTGTTGTTGGTTTGAATTAAAAGAACAAAATATTCTAAGGTCATATTGTTATGTTCTTTATTGGAAACAGGGCCAGACAAGGGACAATAAAAGGTACATGATAATTTTATATCAAAATTAGAATTCAGTATAACATCTCAACAGGCATTTTAAAAATAATAACTCAAATTGCAATATAATGTCTAGAAACTTCGAGTTATAAACACGAAAACACGAAATAATTGTTTTTCTCTTTGGCCCTATTGCTCTTCTTAAGCTTAGATTAAAAAAAAATTGTAATCAGTGTGTTATACATGGCATTTTAAATTATTTTTTTACACATTTGTCGTATAAAAAACACACACAAATGACGAGAAATCAGAACAGAATATATATGATGTTATTGTGCATGATTAATCATTAAAAATGTATAAAAACAAGAAACGTACCTTTTTATTTCCGGTTCAGTACTTCCATGCTCAGCAGCCAGGGAAAGTTTTTCTAGAGATTCTTTGTCCTCCATTACTAGGGCCATCTTTCCTTACTAATTGACGTCACAATACGTTTAGATTTCGAACCTTGCAGAAAGTGACCGGACTAAATTCTCCAACTAGTAATATAAATATTGGAGTGCTAATCGATGTATTAGTATTCTGAGATTGTATTTTAGTGACGTGTTAAATCCAACATTATTCACAGGTAAAATTAATAGAGATACAATTATATTGATAAATTCTTTTTCATTAACTGCAGTATCGCTTATACATGTACCATTGTATGAGAGTTTGCTATCCACTGCAAATCACCGTCCTTCAAGCGAATAATCATAACATACAAATCTACCTTTTAGAAAATAACCACAGTATAATCACGTCCTTCAGCCGATAAAAGATAGTCCAAATAAGGGAACGTGCACGTTATCGGTTATCCCTTCAGCAATGTTGTCGCCAATATGCAGATTGCCTGAGCGCAAAGACCTGTCGCTGTAGATCGTTATTGTCGCTTGCTGACTCAGACTGCCAATATTTCTTCGTACGCTGCAAATCTTTTCCGGATACAAGCTAACAGCAAATGTCAAGATATTAGTAGAAAAATTTGGAGTCTACCTTCCAATAATGAGTTCGTATATGTGTTTGACAATCCAGGCAGAACAACAATTGACGCCATTTCACTCTGCTGCAATATGTTAACCCAACACACAAAAATATACTTATCAAATAAATAGCTAGATTTTAAGCGTTGGTTAGGTAAACGAAATTAATGTTAAGTATAGTTTTGGATAATTAAGACACGCATGTTAAATGCTATATTGTATATACTCCATTTACTGATAAAATATCAGCAAAAGACTTTAAATGTGATACAAGATTGTTCTTGCCCTAAAGCTTATATAACAATTTTTTGAAGTTTAAGTCACAAATTACAATAGTAACACAAGTATTTTCTAGATGTTAACAAAATTATTGGTATTCACCACTAAATAACCTGGTGGCGAATAGTATGTTAAACTAGTGTTTATAAAAATAACGACTTATTAAAATGTTCAAACTCTCTGCTCGATCATATTCAGAGTTCTTTTAATAACTCGAAAATTAATTAAATGCGTAAGTATGACAAATTTCTGTGGTGAAATATACCTGCAAAACATGTAGATATCGTGTTATATCGTAATGTGTTCAGTTCTGCTGTTGTCTTTTTCTTGAATCCAATTACAGTTCCTTTCGATAGCGCCCGATCGATATGAAACCAATAAGATATTGGGACTTTAATTCCAGTTGCCAGTGTTTTAAGCACATTATGTAGTGGAATTATCGTATGTTTTATATTGAAGACAATAAAAACATCAAGAAGTTCATCAATTTTGTACACGGTTTCACATATATACATGTAGTAACGAATGTTCTTTGTAAGGAAATGCACATTTGGATTACCATGTTATGGTTACAACGAGTAATTAAAAATATATATTTTTTATAAGTACCTTATACCTACAAAAGTAATAACGTCCAGATCAATATTTACTCTACCTAAAAAGAGTCCAACTTAACAATAATAGAAATAGACATGTTTTACATTTGTACTATCTCCTGCAGATGGTGACGTTAAAAACGAAATCAGACAACTATCGTGGACAGAATCTAAAGTCTATGCATATCTGAATTATAGCTTTGTTGGAAGAATAGCCCAAGATATAAAAAAAAAAAATGGAAATTCGCTTTGTATCCTTTCCACAAATGCTACGTGTCACAGAATGCAGACACTAAGATACATGACATTGCAAAGCAATCGAATTTTATCACAGACAGATGTATCCCATTGTTGATTAAATGCACAACTTGTGTATCAACATGTGTCTGCTGTCTTGTGTGGTTCATTTACCCAACAATTATTTGAACGATTCCCAAATCCCACAAAATCGATAAAGAATCGTTTTACGTAATACAGAAACTCCAGTTTGAATCAGCAACAATGCCATTGTTGTGTGGTAATATGTATGTTCCATGTCTATTTCACCACTTTTAAGATCGACTCATAATGCTTTTATAGTAAAATAATTCCTTAAAATAGACGAAACATGGTTTCCCCATGTTGACGAATCCACATAGCCATCCATTGATATAAATCCTGGCAGCATATGTATTTTAAGACACAGACAATTTATTTAGATCGATGTGAGGTCGGTCGAGGAATATGTCGTGTTGTTCTACGGCGTTATTAGGGCCATCCTCCTTACACGGAAAATCGGTAATGACGCAACGCAAGCATCTTATCGTGGAGGATCGCAAAGGGGTTAAGATCACAAAAGAAACAAGATTGTATCCGAGATTTTATTTCAGAAAGATTTTATTGAATAGTGAGGCCTATACAAATTCGAAAGAAATTGGGTCACATGCGTAATGCCTTAACAAGACCTCTCCTGGTGTGAACAATGTGCTATAACATACTATTTGTGGAATGTTTTAAAAGCTGTCTACATCGAGATATTTGAGATAAAGTACAAAACAAAATAGCATAGCGTATATTTCTGTCACCACTTGATTGTTTTGATAAGGTTATGATTAAGTTGTAAAATGAGCTAGTTCATGCAACGTTCATGCACTTTTCCAGAATAGTTCACTGCACATTTATTTTCATGTTGGAATTGAATAATGCAATAAGTCACGTTATTCAATCTGTATGATTCATTTAACGTAAAATTAACGCACATTATTACTTTCAGGTAATTGGTGTTGACTAACATTTGCCAATGCTGTCGGACAGAAATAGAAGAAATTGGTCCATAAATGTAGTGATGTGTGTATATAAATATGTTTGAAAGGGCAAAACATATTTTTTTGACAGAAAAATAGAAGTAATTAATCCATTAGTGCATTGTGTGTACATCATGAATATGCGTAGGGATCCCCGTTACACTGCCGAAAACTGTAACTAAGCTTCTGAAAAGAATACCATACCTTGCAAGTCTTTCATGAGAAATAATAAAGACTAAATTTTGTTTTTGGTTTGTTTGTTTGTGTTTTACGTCCTTTTAACAGCTATGGTCATTTAAGGACGTGTCAAATGTTGGTGGTTGAGGAAAGCCGTTGTTCCTGGAGATAAACCACCGACCTACGGCCAGTACCTGGCGACTTCCCCACGTAGGCTTCGAACCCGCAACCAAGTGATTGAGGGCTAGTGGTAGCAGAATGTCAGACGCCTTAACCACTTGGCCACTCAATGGATACTTTTAAGTGGTATCCACTGAAATGTCACTTCCTTGACCGAGTGGCATGACATTACATCCAGGCAAAATACACCGACATCGAGGAAACATGTCTTTACAGTCACCCATACAAAGTTGAACAAATATCACAATGTTATAAGAGGAAAATGTCGACAAAAAAGCATGGGTTGATGTCTACCAGTGTAAGATAGTTATACCGGAAAATATCTTAGTCTACTGTCACAAGTTAATGAATTAGAATTGATTTGTTATCAAAGATTAGGTTATATAGTCTGCCTTATTATGCATTTGTTAAATATGTTTTATTTGTTGTTCAATTCGTAACAGAAACATTTTATTGTTGAGGTAGGAAACAATGAGCAATTGCTATATTTCTTAAAGGCAGTCTTGCGTCATTTATCAGCACTCAAAATAACTCCCGTTGTCAAGAACAATCGGCCATATATCTCTAAATAGGATATTAATATATATTTAAGTATGTATTCCGTCTTTGCGTATTGCAGAGTTATCTTCTCTTGAGAGCAAGGATTGATTGTGACGTCATTTGTTTGTGAGAGGAACGTAATCAATTTTTGAGAAAACGACGTAATTTTCTCACACAAACCAATGACGTAACAATCAATACCTGCTCTCAAGAGAAGAAAACTCTGCAATACGCAAAGACGGAATACTGTTATCACGAGAATGTCCTTGGTGTAAAATATCGATTGTTGGATTCAGAATAAATGTCATATGGCTATCTGAAAAATAGGCATTAAGTGCATTCGGAGAAAAGCTGTCTTGAGGTTTGATATTTATTTATAAAATGATTCAAAAATACAATTCCATATTTCAGTAATTGTACTTGATAATTAAGAAATTAAATGTCAAAGTTTTTGATCAAATAATTGAATATCCTTCATTGACCCCCTGTATTGTGCAGTTTGGCGATTGTAATAATACATCCCTGAAGAGAAAATATAGAGAAGTCTATAAAAAGTAGCAAATGAAGTAGAAATGTCTCTCACAAACAACATTATGGATGTTCTTGTGGTTTACTCCACATGGGCATACTAGCATATTGTCATCACGGCGTTTTGATAAGATAATCAAAAACATCTGATGTGCATATTGTATGTCACTCAAACAATTGTATATACTGTACGACATCATATATCTGCTGTATAAACCTTGCCCTTTTTTTAACTTTACAATGTAGGGCTTTCAAACCATGTAAATACTCAATGACCTAGGAGAATTAGAATGAAATAAAAACTGAAGATGGTGCTAGCCGATTACGTTCAATCCCGGATACAACTCGACTCCCACGCAAGTAATTAAGGCACTTTCATGAACACAGTTGTCAGGATGTAGTTTTCTAAATGGATGCAACACGATTCTACGATGTTCCCGGGTTGTCCCATTATTTTTCCTAAATACTAAAATCGACATGTTTGTTCTTGACGAAAACTTTTTCTGTTGCGTTTTAATGAGCATTTTAGGGATCGTTAAAGAAGTATAATGTTACGCGAAGCAATATATGTTTATAGGTATGTCTATATCTAATGACATCATCTTTTGGCTTTACGTCCTCACAAGGCTTACACAGGCTGTTGAGTCATCTTCCTTGATTAGGAATCAATTTCCACTCTCAAGTTACATGGAAGTCACTTATTTAAAGAAGATATATTAATTCACCAAGATCAAAAATAGCGTCTAAATCAGAGCCAATCAGTGTCTGATAGCCTCACTGCAGGTCGGGGACTGAGAGAAGAATATACCTGCTGTTATCGTCCGCGTGTTGTAAGAGGACACTAACGTGAAACCCGCCTGCAGAAATCGGAATTTGCTTTCATGCACTTTTTAAGAAAGCGACCAAAATACATCTGCTGCACCCATTATAAGATTTTAGATTTTTATAATTGTGCCGCTTAAGGTTGGAATTTGTTTTCCTCGGTCCTCAGCAATACCTCACTTTTTGCCTAGGTGGAGAGCATATGCCAAAGTGGGGGAGGCAGTGGATTCTGTCCACAGACTGAAACACACCAAAGCCCTTAAATGGTGGTTGTTTCATTACCCTCCGCTCCAGGTCCAGCATTTAGGGTAATCAGTAAAATCCGACCGGCCTGAATACTGTCTTGGGTGCATTCGATACGGGTGGTTTTCCATTGAGGTAACACTCCGTAGTCGGCATCAGTTTCGCGCTATTGCAAGAAGGACGCACACATTTGTACATACATTGCACACATATAGGCACGTCCTAGCACCCCTACTATAATGCCCGGGCATAACATCATTTGTCAGTTATTATCTTAACATCAATATTTCCTTCCATGCCTTCAGTATAGCCTTACTGAGGGGTTATCTCAGACAAATTGGATGCTGACAACACAACATTCCATAACTTGTGTGATAACAACTGATTCTTGTTTGATCTGTAATAAATTCTTTAAAATTGCACACAAACACACACACATAAATAGATAGCGTCTATTCCTATGTCGGGGATGTCTTAGGTAAGTTATGTTCTTTGGATTCGGATTTTTGTGTACTTTTCAAGTGTGTCACATAATATGGCATCAACTCCAACTGATGAAATGCAGAAACAGGACTACTTATATATCAACAACTCATACCAATCATGCTCTAACTAGTTAAGATATTGAACTTGCATTGACAAAAATGTTTCGTGTTGTGTATATTTCATTTTATATTTTCAGTTGAAACTATGTTTAAAATACAGATAGGTAGATGAGTGACCAGAGTGTGCTGACTTGTATCTATCGGTAAATGAAGAGGCACATGTTATAGGTCCCTAGTGACTGTGAAACATTCAAAAGCCTGTCAACCAGTACTCCAGGGTTTAAATGACCTAAGCTGTTTAAAGGACAACCCAAATTAAACCAAGCAAACAAGTGTCTGATGGAATCTCAAGCAACCGACTGGCAGCTCTATCTGTTGGTTGTCACTCACAAATATAATGTGCTTGCTATATCTTTGATATATGTCAATCATAGACGGACGTTAAAATCTACATGTGGCCATTTCAAAACACAATACCAAGGAATGTTTTATCATGCTTCGTTACACTCTAAGTACCAACGAATGTTTCGTAAACCCTGGATTATTTTATTTCTAGCTTGTAGATTACATTATTATATTAAATTCAGTCCAGCTGCCCGTAAACATAATCCGAATTTTCGAAATATCTCCACCTTCACACAAATGTCTATGAGTTGTCAATACGGATAATGCATACGACTTTTCCTGACAACATGTCTGAAAGGTATCCAGTGATATTTTATAAATTCCACATCGGTTTTAAACTAAAAATCACCATATTTCATTCACTTCAATTTAATAAGAGTATGAAATCTTATTATTTAATCTAATGCTAATTATTTCAATAAAGCTTCACGATAAAATCTGTAAGCTGGTCTGTCCTATTTCTTATACATACGTTTGCATTGTTTAGAGAAAGGCAACAGAATGTATCGAGAAGAAGACTGTGAATATTCTTCATCTGTAAGTGTAAATAGTAATTCACAGACATCGTGAATTGCCATTCTACCCAACACAACACAAAATACCCAGTGGTGGTTAAAACCTTTATTTATAAATAGATGCTTAATTTGAACCATTTATACAAAAAAACATAAATCAGCGCTAGTGTTAAGTGGATATATAAAACTATTATTGGTGCAGCGGTACGTTCCCTACGGATTTCCGTACAGTCTCAGTGTTATTCGCCATTACTGTAAAGTATACAGGAAGTTCAATTAGCGAGGGTCCTTCCTTTCAATTGAAGAGTCTTGACGGAAGCCCCGTTGGTCTTCCAGTCTATGAATATTCCTGTTTACTTGCTAGATCTTAATAATCTCTAAGAATAGCGAAATTAATTTGAATTCATTGGCATGTAATAACACTATTCCAACGTTTTCACTGTGCCAACAATTCGACAATTATACAAAGTAGATGTTCATTGAACTGATTTTAGTAAATATCTATAGCTAATATGAAATCAAAAAAATATACCAACTGGATGCTATATTCTCCATGAAGACCGTCGGATTATGAACGCCAACTTAAAGCTGTTTAATGCTGATATTTACTTTTTTTTAATATGTCCATCTCAAAGAGAAGATATATAATTGATTAATAAAAAATAAATAAAAAAAACCAAGCATAATGTGTATATTGCGAGTAATGGTTCAAGGAATAGAACAGCCACCTTTAAGAGGGTGGGATGGGATCGTTTTGGAGGATCCCCCGCCCCTTTCGCGTCAATATATGTAGTGACGTTAGAATTGCAAGATGGCGTCCTATTAAACGCAACGTCATGGCTAACACGCAACGTTCGATTGATAATATATTGTTCATTTATGTCTAGTTGTCTTAAATTGTAATATCAATGATATGCAAATGAAAATAACTTATTTAGCTTATCTTTCTCCATATATACAATTTCTTAATCTTTATTTAGTAATATTGAACCCATAACAAGCAATAATATAGTTCAATCATTTATAGTGACATAAACGTATTTTCTCAATATATTCCATTTTCATCTGTTGGCTTTCGTTACACTGCCATTCCCGGCTAACATTAAAGCGATATATTTATCAAACCAACATGACAAGTGTTTGCTATTCATAGAAACCTCTAAAACGTGTCGTTTGACTGAACAAGACTTACGAATGAGGGATGGGGAGCCATGGTGATATCATCTACTGCCAAATCGCTGCCGTAATGGAACAAAGCGGAAGCTTCAAATATCAGCTGAAAGACAAAGATTGGAGTTAGATTAAAAACGACAAGTTTTTCCTTCAAAGGCATTAACCCCTTTATCGATCCCGATCGACCTTTTATGAATACACGGGAGCTTACTGTAATGCATACACTAATATGCCATAATGTCGTGTCTGATGTCATCAGGACAGAAGCCCGGATATTCAGGAATGTAGAAAGTGGACGATTTGAGATCGTCTGTGATACGTTCTCATGCTCCTGGATTCTGTTCTCAAACAGCCTTCTATTTATCCTCCAAATCCATATGACATGGTCAAAACAATCAAAGGTACACACTTAAAATGGAATTCTGGTTGAATTTTCTCTCTCAAAATCAAAAAGAAGAAAGAAAAATAATTATTTCGACAAATTGTTACTTTTATCAACTTATCATCGGACCAAAAATTAGACTTGCGCACAGAATCAATTTGATCATGAATAGAACCTTAATTTTACATTTGCGTGGAAGTGTACTCCAATTAAATGAATGTGATTCAGTCAAACTAAGTTTGATAAGTTTATGAGTCAACGTTATGTAATATGTTATGTCTTGGTAAACCTCTGAGTTGTTCAGCATCAGTATTGTTGTTTTGTTGAGATTGTATATGCCAACTAAAGTATAGCCTAGGCTGTATCGCATGTGTCCTCTGCTGAAACGAACATTGCAGAAATCAAATTTGTTCGGATGCAACCCATTGCAAAATAGGGGCCAAGTATCTTTTGTCGTGTATATTTTTGTATATACATGCATTATTGGGAAACACACGTCATCATTATTGCACCGTGTAAATAGGTGGTCAATCTCTGAGCATAACGGTTAACTTATTAATTATGTTACAAAGCCTGACTTATCCAAGGGGCTGCACTTAAGCCGTTTGCACGTAATGAGAGGAATTTGTTTGTTTGTTTGATTTTGTTTAACGTCCTATTAACAGCTAAGGTCATTTAAGGACGGCCTCCCTTCTGTGCAAGATGCATGCGTGTAGTGTATGTGTATTTTGGGAAGCTGCGATATGTTCGTGTTTGTCTCCTTGTGATAGAGCGGAACTGATGCCGACTTTATAGTGCTACCTCACTGAAACATTCTGCCGAACACACCCAGCAGGACGCCCCACCCGGTCACATTATAAAAGCAAAATATCCCAAGAGTTGTAATGTGGGCAGCAAATCAGTTGTTGGTCTCTTCAATGTCTTCTCCGTATAGTACACTTAAGAAACCCATCGATTATCCAGACCCCTGACATTAGTCGCCTTTTATGTTACACATGCAGTGGTAAACAGCACGTTGACAAGGGCGAAACCACCACCGATTCCACAAGGAGGGCAAATAGTCGCCTCTTACGATCATGCAGTGAGATGTAGCGTGCCTTGTCTTTCCCCGAACCTGCATGGGTTAAACAAAATATACAACATGGCGATGACTCCAACAGTGAAAAATATCTGATTTTGGCCAAGCTTAGTACTGAGAAATTACCATAGCATCCCATAGTCTGTACATTATACTGATACATGGCCACTCTGACACATCTTCGAGTTAGTCCATTTTCTATTGTAACATAATTTTGCATTTCATAATATGTTTCAAGTACCAAAAGATCATTTAAGAATGTCATACTCCCTATATCATATATATATATTTCACTGCAAAAAACTAGTCACATCCTACCTACTCAGTTTGGGAAGATTTTCTTTTCAGACTTTTTGATAGAGCGTCTTGTTGGTAAACAAGAGGACCAGGGTTCGATCCCCGGCGGAAGCAATGAGAAATAGCAAACATCTGTTATATTATATACAGTTTTACATAAAAACAGTATCAAATAAATCGTATTATTTGGAAACTGTCATCCATTTGCGACTGCAGTACACTAGGAGAAACGTTTGACACATTTGATGGTAAGGGTCAGAACAAGGGTCAGACTAATGAAAAGTGAAATATGGGTTCCGTATTCTGGACATGTTGACCAATCTATTTCTGGCTGACCTGACCATCACGTTCACGCGACAGCGATAAAAATCATTAGATTATTCGAGAAGGCCTCTCTGAGTCAGTCTGAAGCCGTGGGGATCGAGAAAACAATCACTAGTAATGAATCTTTATCGTTCGGTTCTTTATATGAAGATTTTCCAGTACAGCGATACCTTGTGATACTGCCATGATTAGCACAACAGATTATAGATAGTATACAGCAATCGAGAGAACAAATTATAAGCAGAACAATTTGTCATGTTGAGTTGCTTTTAAAGGGGATACGAAAGATACACTTTGTACCTGGTTGCTTGAGTTAAAGGTTATAACTGGCACAGGGTAATATTTTCATATTTTGATTGAATTGGTTATAGTTGTTGAGCATGATAAGTAACCGAGTGCTTAAAATCTACAGTTCATCGCCGAAATTGAAAGATCAAAAATGGAAACAACAGAGTACAGCGCCTGAGTTCGATCTCGCCATGAGCTTTCTAAGACTTCTGTGTCACTATAAATGATATTAATATCGGGTTTCGACGATATGTTTGTCGCCAGCTTGAACACTGGACTGCTGTTTTTTTATCTAATTAAAATGAGATCATATAAATATAATTTTGCAACGCTATAATTGATAGAATGGGTAGAATACAGGCAAGAATGAAGGTTGTTTAGAGCAAGCATTGTTTAAACAAACTATTTGCCAACTGTCACATTTCCTTTCAACACGAAATGATACTTTATATAAATTTGGTTAGTATAGATGATGTACTTCCGGTACAAATGTTCTTGGGCGGATGTGTGTAAATTGGTTTAAAACTGTAATATTTGGGTGTATTCATCAGGCTCTAGATCTGGCAATGTCCTGGTCTCTATATGTTTAGGTGTTACTTAAGAATACTTATATCGACAGGCCAAAGCCACCACTGGCTAGGGGTATAAATGGAGTGTTGATTGTATTACAGACCCTAGTTGGACAAGCCATACCGGATCATGGCCATTACTTGGAAGCAGGTGAGGGTAATAATTGTACGAACACGACTTCTTCTCTGTCTGACTCTGGGGATCGATATAGACCTGAGTGAGTTTCCGGAAAATCCTGGTATTTTTATTTTCAAGTAATTTCCGCAAGCTTCTTCAAAGCAGACCGGACTCCGGACTAAGACTAAGGCATTGGTATATGTCGTTTTTTCTACAACACCCTTGATGGAATAGCGAAATACTAAAATACTAAGCAGCTTTAGATGTTGACCACCCCGGGGGAAGGGGGGGGGGGGCGAGTGGTTAAGGCCTCTGACATGCTGCAATCAATAGCCCTCTACCAAAAACGAACCATATTTGACCAAGTCCTGCTAACTTCACAGGCATATCAACAAGCCAAACACGGTCTTGAAGCTTGACTTAGACGTTGGTAGAGTACCAGTTGTGTAATGTCTATACGACCAGTTAGGAATGGACGAAAGCTTCACAACGTAGTTGTGCTAAATTTTTGACAATTCCTACGTCGATACATATTCAGGCCGAGACTCCCACGCATCAGCTTGAGCAACGAACCGGTGCACAGGAAATGAAATTTAGCAGTTAACAACATCACAGTTTTAGAAAATATCCCTAAACTTTCATGTTTGACCACAACTTTAAGTTGTACGAGCTACATCAGGTTTAGGACATATAATTAACTGCCAATCGCTCCTGATTTTTTGGTAATACATTTGTATGTTGTATCGTGGTATTTATATAAAGGTTGTACCCCTACCTCAAACAGGTGGATCTGATAAATCAAGATCGAGATAAAAACAAGTAACGTAACTTGTCATATATTTGACAGAATCACGGTTGCTTCAATCCTATATGCATTAGATGTGCATGTTTTATTGTCTGTAGTCTTTAATATCACGGCGTCAAATTGAGATGTGGAAATTTCATTAAGCGCCACGTCAATGCAATTACGCATCAGACAGTGTGACTATTCTGTAATTTCACCACCATTGACTGTTGACGATGACCATTACAGGATTAACGCTAAAACGTTGTGGCTAGCACACCATTACATCACTTATCAGCATCCCATTTTCCAGATTGAAAATCAATGCCACTGACCACTACAATAAGTAAAGCTTTACATTGAATGCTAACCAGTCAGAATTTACTTTGGATTTTAGCTATTTGTTAGTTGTTACTTCATATAACGCGTGAATCAATCTTGTAATGTATAGTGGTATGTCTCCGGTAACTTACAGTGATCCAGAGTCTGTTATGTATTTCATTATACAAATCAGGGGGATTATGTATTATTAAAACTCAATACTGAATATAACTGAATATCGGATATCGTTGCAATTTTAAATTCGTGTCATCTGTCGGTTATCATGACGTAGAACATTGTGTTACAGATCAGTATCGACCGTCGGGTGTCTTAACAAATATATTCATGTTTCACTATTTTTTATAACTGAAAATATAGTTAAGTGAATATGAATAGTATATAGATAGTCTAATACTATATCCATGTAAGATTTAACTATTTTGAAAGCAACGTCGGAACGCATTAGGTTAAATACTTGTATTACGTTATTTTGACGTAGAACAGTTTTTTAGATCATTGTCTAAGTTTTATAGATTATTGTCTTACAGCAATATTATAACGTAGAACAAAGTTATCTAGATCATTGTTTTACAATGGTACCATGACGTGGACCACACTTTTATAGATCATTGTCTTACAATGGTACCATGACGTGGAGCACACTTTTATAGATCATTGTCTTACAATGGTACCATGACGTGGAGCACACTTTTATAGATCATTGTCTTACAGTGGTTACATGACGTGGAGCACACTTTTATAGATAATTGTCTTACAATGGTACCATGACGTGGAGCTCACTTTTATAGATCATTGTCTTACAATGGTAGTATGTCGTGGACCACACTTTTATAGATCATTGTCTTACAACGGTACCATGACGTGGAGCACACTTTTATAGATGATTGTCTTACAATGGTACTATGTCGTGGACCACACTTTTATAGATCATTGTCTTACAACGGTACCATGACGTGGAGCACACTTTTATAGACCATTGTCTTACAATGGTACCATGACGTGGACCGCACTTTTATAGATCATTGTCTTACAATGGTACCATGACGTGAAGCACACTTTTATAGATCATTGTCTTACAATAGTACCATGACGTGGAGCACACTTTTATAGATAATTGTCTTACAATGGTACCATGACGTGGACCGCACTTTTATAGATCATTGTCTTACAATGGTACTATGTCGTGGACCACACTTTTATAGATCATTGTCTTACAACGGTACCATGACGTGGAGCACACTTTTATAGATCTTTGTCTTACAATGGTACCATGACGTGGAGCACACATTTATAGATCATTGTCTTACAATGGTACCATGCCGTGGACCACCCTTTCATAGACCATTGTCTTACAATGGTACCATGACGTGGAGAACACTTTTATAGATCATTGTCTTACAATGGTAACATGACGTGAAGCACACTTTTATAGATCATTGTCTTACAATGGTAACATGACGTGAAGCACACTTTTATAGATCATTGTCTTACAATAGTACCATGACGTGGAGCACACTTTTATGGATCATTGTCTTAAAATGGTACCATGACGTGGAGCACACTTTTATAGGTCATTGTCTTACAATGGTACCATAACGTGGAGCACACTTTTATAGATCATTGTCTTACAATGTTACCATGACGTGGACCATACTTTTATAGATCATTGTCTTACAATGGTACCATGACGTGGACCACACTTTCATAGACCATTGTCTTACAATGGTACCATGACGTGGAGCACACTTTTATGGATCATTGTCTTAAAATGGTACCATGACGTGGAGCACACTTTTATAGATCATCGTCCTACAATGGTACCATGACGTGGACCACACTTTTATAGAACATTGTCTTACAATGGTACCATGACGTGGAGCACACTTTTATAGATCATTGTCCTACAATGGTACCATGACGTGGACCACACTTTTATAGACCATTGTCTTACAATGGTACCATGACGTGGAGTACACTTTTATAGATCATTGTCTTACAATGGTACTATGACGTAGACCACACTTTTATAAATCATTGTCCTACAACGATATCACAACAAAGTGTTATACCATTGCCTAAAAAGTCATCACGACTTAAAACACAATTACACGAGCATGCCTTGTTTTTGTCGGACAATGAAATAATCAGTATAAATAATATTGCCAACAATATTGTGCTTCATTTAGAACAATATCCAAATGCACCTCCTTTATTTAACCATGTATTTGATTTACCAAAAATAATCGTATTCACATTATACCGATGATGACAAAATTACAAAATCTATTAGTAAATCGATCGGAATTATTTCCCATTGCAAATATGTAGTCTAAAAAGTTCACCTCTGATCAATGTGTCTTCCCGTCAAGCGCTGCAAGTAAAATGGCTTCGAAATCTATCGATTTTAAGACCAAAATCTAGAATCCAGCTTTCATCAAATAATCCTGGATCCAGACGACTTAATACAAGGCATGACACATTCGCTAGATTACATAACTCCGTCATTAAATGTGTTTTGATAATTCTAGTGATAGAAGTAAATCCCTATCCATGTTACATGTTTATATATGTCAGTGGCAACATATGTCAGGTTTTAGCTATGTTAGAGATACCCGATGAATTTATTGGGTCATATGAGGACAGGTACCTAGGGAGACATCGCCGCGAAGACAGAGTAGATAGGAAAGAAAGAAAGCAGGACAGATACAAAACAAAAAGGATCCAAAGTGTTACATTTGGGGCAATATATCAATTTTGGTTTCCACCATGTCCTCGGTAACGATAACATGGAAGAAAACCCTTCGATTCCGCGGCATATCCTCATTAATCGCCTTTTACGATACACACGCATTGGGATACAGCTGGTGTATTCTTGGTTTCTTCCATGTTCCGTAAAAAGGAGACAAGTAGGAAACCGCCCTAGATTATGCAGAGGGAATACTCGATGAAAGTTTTAAAAATAATTGAAAGACGCTCCTGAAAATCTATGACATGCAAACCTGATATCTGCCAGGACGGAGAGAAACTTCTGCTTTTAACCATTCAGAGCTCTGCCTTCCGTTCATCGTCCATATGACGAATTCAAGTGTTTCCGCCGTCCGCTTTGTCAAGCGAAGATGACCAATGCCTACCCCGTTCATGTGGAACCAAAACGTCATCTTAGTGACGTCATACACGGAGATCAGCGGGCTAAATAAGTGTGCTGTCCAGGTCAAATTTCGGGTTTCGTGACCCATCAGCAAGAGGTAATAGCCATCTAGACGGTAGGCAAGAATAGTACATAAACCTGACGATAAAACACACTTTTATCACTATTCCGAGAGAATACAACATTCTAGGGAATTTGTAAGATATTTGATTATGCGGTAATGATTAATAGATATCGTTAATCCATTACTGACACGCTAATGACGTGGTCAACAAGTGTGTATGCTTTTGTGGATGCTTGGTTAATCATGAAACATGAAAAATATAATCTAAACGTATGTTTATGCTATAGCCTAATGTGGAAGGTAGCATCTTGAATTAGCTTTTGTTTTATGCAATTTTCACATTTTATGACGATTAAATGCATAAATGTGTTTGACTTTCCGACTAACAGAACTCGGACATTTTGAAATTGGAACACGCGTAAATGAAGTTTTGTAAATCATGTAAATGATGTAGGTTAATTGAACCGAAAACAGTAATCAATTAAAAAAATATTCTTTCTTACAATGGAGACCTGGGAACAGGAACAAAAAAAAGTAACAAAAATGAAATAAATTAAAAAGAAACTGTCTATCATTTAGTTAAGCAATGTATCTCATTAATGTTATTTTCCGAAATTTGATCACATTTAGAAACGTCAAGTTAACGCAACATTTTGTCTGGTAATCTGATGATTATGATTAACTTGAGTAACTGGTGAACATACTTCCGGAAGTGTGGTCTGCGGCTGGACCGGAAGTGCGATCGGGAGATGACCCTTGAACCCTGTGCCAGTCGAGCTCGTCTGAGGTAGATTGTTGCCACATACACAGGGACTGGTCAAAACTACAGTCAGGGAATTCGCCTAAATAAAAAAAAGACATATAAGTACATCCTTTAAATTAATTTTAGAATTATGATTTATCTCCGGAAGCTGGGGTCAGGTAAACGGTGATATTGAAATTGTGTAAAAATCTATAAAGATCTGTGAGTTCAGTTCCGACATGACATTTTTTCCCACCAAACATACCATATCGGCAAATACAAAGATTGGAAATTTGGCGATTGCAAAAAAATCCACTTGTAGCAATACTCTTAAGGTCATAGGAGTGTATTGATAAACGGAAACAGGAAGTACATCACTAGTTGAAAATCCAATGTAGGGAGATAGTATCACTACTTCCGCATATTCTAATGTTTAATATTAAACTGATGTATATCGATGTTTATTAGACAGAACAGTGTGTTATCTGAAGTATTTCAAACCAATCCAGGCATTAATTCGGCTGTTTTTTATCAATGAGTCACATGTGTCCATTTTTCTGTACTTCGGGAAACCGGCTACCTATTTCACTACTGTGAGAAGTTTTTCAAGAAAGATAACTTCTATGTATATATTGTTTTATTATAAAATGTCAAATTTTAATCGTTTACAGATAATTAATTTTACACAATTTCACCATTTATTAAATTGATATACATTAATGCAATACTAATCTATGTCAGCATAATTTTTATTGACATTATTTTTGTTCAAAATTCACTCCTTTTTACATAAATTTCCATTTAAAATCCCTAAAATTGTGACAACCTTTATTTTTTTATGGTAGAACATTTTCTTTAACTCAAAGCAATATAACTACAAAAGTTCAAGAAATTCAACTGAGAAATGGTGACACAATCCTATTAACTTAATCAAGATTGTCCAGTCGTCAAAAACAATGGACGATTTCTTCTTAAAATGAACGTATATGTGCTAATGATAAAGTTCCATGATCTACAATGTTTAACTTAATGTCAGCATGTAAAAGAACACGTTCCACATAGATTGCCTGCACCAAAAAATACAGATATTACATGTATTTCCAAAACCATCCATCTATTATATGCTAAATTACTACGACATACATCATAATTAAAATAAAATTAAACACAATGAAAGAGGTTTATTTTATCAATCTTAATTGTTATTTGGATTGATTTATTAATCTACGATAAGGTTGATTCGTACATAGGAAAACAAACATCTACACCCAACAGCTTATTCTTAGATTATCTTAAAGGGCAATAACTCCAATACAAAATATATGGTATAAGGCGTAAGGTGTGCAGAATAACAAACAAATCTTCTAGTTCGATGTTTATTGCCTCCTCCAGCGAGGGTAAAAGTCTGGAACACATGAAATTAAGCTAACATTACAAGAAAGTCTAACAATGTCAAAATACAGCAAGTTATATTTACTCCTTGACGCTATAACATGCTACCACAAATAGGACAAAACATCATGATTTTAGCTTTGTTACCCCTCGAAATAACTCATCAGACTGAAAACTAGTAAACAAAATAGGAATACGAAAATATCCAGACTACGTTGTACACTATGCCAATTTTCATAAATCACGACAGGATCTGTGTATACAAAATGAACCGACTCGGAAATTACACGTACATGTAATTATCACTGAATCACATAAACGGGAAGTCTACAGTGTTTTTACCTAATTATATGTAATCAAACAAATAATAAACACGATCATCTAGAAAATATCTAAAATTACGTGACCATGTTTTCCATAATGCCACGAAAGAAAAATGCGAAATTTCAAACACCGATTTTACATGTCGGATAAATCAACATTTAACCTATCAACTTCAGAGAAACTTACACTGCACATAAAGTACATGATTTAAACAATCTAAACTTACTCTGTGGTGCATCAAAACATATTGCATACAGTAATGCAAACGTCATTTCTTCTGTATAAACAGACTTGCACAACATGGCGGACATTTTCAAGGAGACTGCCAAAACACGAAACCGAAATCCGGACAATCCGGATACGCAAGAAACGAGTAATAAAGAGTCGCATTCCGGACAGATTTTCCGGAAACACCACATAAGGTAGCTATAGAATACCAGTTATATTAAGAGCGATGTTGCTACATATCTTTTTTAAGTTTTTATCTTTTAATCTTTAATATGTTTACAATATACTGAGAATGATTTCGATGAAAACATCTGAATATCCACTACCATGAATGCGTACTAATAATGCGGAAAGTCTAACACTTAAACCAGAATGTTCAACCCTCATGCTCAGAGAGGGATATTTGCGTTCTTTAAATTCAATCCCTTATTGCAGAACGTCCTTCCACACACCACGTAAGCTGGAATCTCACGTAATAAGAACATTTTCTTGCATATATTGAGACGTATAAATTAGCGTGGATCGTCCTGAGGGGAAAACTCAAACATTGTGAACATAACAATTTTGCACATACAACGATGTACCAATGAGTTATGGGAGTCAATTTTCGTCAAAAACTTAAGATAGCATTTTGTTTAAAGAAGTAGAAGCAACGTTTTCTATGAGAACAAGTAAAGATAATTTGTCGCATCCTTTTTTAATTATTCCACAATATGTCTGTTAATTTAGTCGACTACTTAATTGACTAGCAAACTGTTATATATACATAACTACATACCCGTATATGTTGGTCCTCTGGTTGTATGTAGCTCGGGTGCTAAAGTTACCTCAATTTCTGACAAATAAAAATAAGTTATCAATGAACAAGAAGTTAAACTTATAATCTTGAACGATATTCTTTCCATTCATACGAGATTATGAATTAAAATAAGAACAACCGCCTCTACCCAAGGATATCGTTGTTTCACATATTGGTTTCATCATCAATAGTATTGCGATTTTTGCGTAAGGCATACAAAAATAGTTACCGAAATAAATAAATCGAAAATAGCAGTGTTAATTTACCAACAACAATAACTGTAAGGTGTGAAATAATTCGTTAGGAAAATCATAAATTTGTTCGAGTTGGGATATCGTGAAATTTAGGACGTAACCACGCACAGAAAAAGAGAGTCGGGATTGACTGGTAACTGTGACAATTGTCACTTTAATGTAAACTAAAATCTTCGAAGATTGATCAGTCATACATTGTCAATGTTTATATCAGAGTCCCTGATTTTTGTATTTTTTTTGTGTGGTTTTTTTTTAATATTGAATTGAAAACGTCATTTCTCTTTCTAACGACTGTTATCTGGCATGGTAGGACTGGGCGTGGTATACTTCCGGTTAAGCCTGTTCGATAACAGTACTTAGATATAAGTCCATTGTAATAATATCCTCGTGAATTTAAAAGGAGGTAAAAAGCATCCGGACCAAACTGGGAATCGAGCCGGGGACCTCAGAACTCTATCCGGCCCTGTCACGCAACATAAATACGGCAGGAGTAAGCGCGCCATATGAAAATACGAAGATTAGAAGTACATGTGGGGACGGAAAACTCCAACTTCATGGCAAGCAGTAAAGGTGTGGGTTGTGGTGTGTTTTAAATGTGTCCATGGTGTGCTGACGTCATAAGTGTTTGACACTAACGGTCACCATTGTACTGGTAAAAACGATATTTTATGAAGTACTTGCACTCTAAGCTGCCACAGTTTCCGTTTATAAACCCTAGAACTTGGAATATAATTACAGTTACAAAGCACTGTGATCCGGTTTCATAAAACTTACCGACAGGTTCAATATTTACTATCACGTCATCAACAGCAATTATGGCGTTATAATGGTACTTAGCACTGGCGACAAATTCAATCTGTAAATAGACAGAGAAAAACGTGACATTTTAATCAGTTCGAGCGTGATTCCTGGCATGCTAACGCATTGAGTTGTAAATATCAATTTAGACATTGTGATTACTCAAAATGTATCGATTTCTACTAGGAAGTTAGGGTGAAAAACTCTCATTTCAACTCTCGTAAATTCTTAGTTTTTTCTCAACCTTTATACTTTATTTTTCAAATCACGGCTGAGAACATTAGACATGAGAGAGGAGGGTGGATTATTTATCTCAATTTGTATAATGGCACTATAATACATATATTCAAATACCTGCCAAACGAAAAACGACGACAGACATGTCTGAAGATTGGACACTTTTTTTACGGAACAAGACGAATGTGAGTTTTGTAATTGATCTTTCGTTAAAAAAAAACCAACAACATTTTTTTCGTGTTTCTAATCCCTTCCTTCAAAACCTGCTCGAAATTACTGCCTTCATATGCTTGACTTATTTTATATTTATCACTTTTAAGTTCAACAATTTTCATTTACAATAGAAAAGTAAAATGTCGGAAAACCTCTCCGTTACTGTCATACACCGGTAAAGATTATTCACCATAGAGAAACCAATTGTTTAAAAAATGCTCCGATTTAAATCACTATGTTCTCTAAGTTGATTTGCTTGAAAAACTTACTTTTGCAGCAGATGTGTCGAGATTGAGAATAGCCTGTAGCCAATCCGGGCCCTGACGGCCATGTTTGTTCCATACCGTCCTCTGGTTGCCATACTTGTCGGTAACCAAGAGCGACAGGTTTCCGATACCTACACCATTCATGTGGTACCAGAAGGATAATGTGACGGGCCAGGATAAATAGAGAGCAGGACTCGAAAGAATGGCGACTGATTGAGGGCCTTGACTATCATACCCCGATACATAAACGTAACTCCCATCTGAAACAATAAACAATTTAAAAAGAAGTTGGTTCATCCCGAGAAGAAGATATTTAACATTAAAAAAACAACGAACTTGTCTGACAGCAATCTGTAAACTCTAAAGATACATTCATCCTTCCGTTTTGTTGGAAATGGTGGAAAACGACCAACAAAACGGTCAAATAATATCACGGTTAAATTGACATTTTACTATTTCGTGCATGAACACTCTAAAAGCAATATTGAGATTATCAACACAAAGAGGCCGGGATAACACTGACAGGCTGTAATTAAGAACATCTCTTTGTGCGAAATGCTACTTCCAAGCTTGATATGCTAAGTTAAACACATTTCTTTCACATTCAATACACTCTCTTCCCAAAGTCCAATATAAAATGGTATTGAAAGTACAAAGACTTCTACCCCATCAGAATCAGGGAGTTCTTTCACTCCTATATTAAGAGGACATTGAAGAAACCGAATTTGATCTGCTGCCCTTCATTGCAATGCTTGGGATCTTTATTTTTCCTTTCTTACTTCCCTTTTATTTCTTTTGGCGATGTCTTCCTAGGCACCCGGTTTCATATGACCTTTGCTATTGCGAGGACATTAATCCCAAACAACACCCCTTCAGGTTCGGGATCGGGAAAAGAGTACACCTACATTTACCCACTGCATGTATCGTAGGAGGCGACTAATGTGTAACCCCTGCAGAATTGGGGATTTGCTTTAGTGTCCTCTATTTGGGGATACAAAAGCGACCAAAATTAATCTGCTGTACCAATTGCAATATTTAGGATCTTTATCGATTTTTCAATTTCTAACTACCTTTTATTTCCTAACGCCTTGCTTTGCAACACCTCAATTTTGGTTTGAATGTTAAGCGTTTGCCCAGATGAGGAAGGCAATGGGTTCTGTCCCCAGGCCGGGACATACCAAAGTCCTCAAAAATGGTTGTTGTTATTCCCTGCTTAACGTTCAGCATTTAGGGGAATGGCAACAACTGGTTCACCCGTTTTTCAGTATAAAGCGACCGGGCGGATGCTCTGCTGGGTGCCTTCGGCATGTTATTTCAGTGAGTTAGCACTATAAAGTTGGCATCAGATCCGCGCTATCACAAGGAGGCAAGCACTTCAACATACCCTGTCTCCTGCATACGCCAACATACCCTGTCTCCTGCATACACACACGCAAGCACGCATACACTACACACATGGAGACACGTCCTTAAATGACCTTAGCTGTAAATAGGACGTGAAACAAAATTAAACCAAGCCAAACCAATCCCAATCAAACAAATAAATATGTGAACAATGCATTTGTTCGTGGGTAAATCTAACTACATTGTTGCTCCTAGGTTATGACAATGTTATTTGGCCAGATGGACTGTCATTAAATTCACTTAAACTTGCTAATGATAGTATCGTAGACCCATATTAAATGTTTAGTTTGTCTAACTATAAATGAACATTTCCAAAATAATGGAAGAGGGCAGATGTTTGTTTTTGTGTACAGGTCTGGCGATAAGACTTATGTCAAAGGTTATCGACCTATTTTTGCAATTTAGATACCTGAGCGACACATGCATGTTTCTTTAATGAACATATCCGATAACAGCCTGTTGACTGACAGTATATTTGGTTTTCTTCCGAATACTCAATTGAAAAGTGGCATAAGTTAAGGTAGCCCGTTCCTCCTACTACATATGTATGACTAAAGCGTTTTACACGAAATAAGATATTATTATTTAGAAATGATCATACTCAAGACGGATATAAATGAGAAATGTAAACGTTAATTTCAAACTTTGAACCTGTGACAATTTGTTAACCGTATGAGTCCATTCCTGGACCCTTGTTTTTTATGTTGCACAATTAAACTACATATGTCCAGCATTCTTTTGTATACGATGATAAATGTAATATTAACAGTATCCCTACGACAAGGTGCGTTCACACCAAGCTATTTTTTCAAACATTTCACATGTAGAGAGTCCAACAATGCCACATTAATAGTCCATAGTCAAGGAGGGCTGTTAACTTATGCCAGGTCAAACAATGGAAGAACATGTAATAGCTTCTTATTTTTTTTATAAATAATGATGTGATATGTCGAAAACAAAATACACATTCTTTCTACTATGAAACATACGTTGTGTGTTCTATATAAACTACAGATAATCATGATCAATTTTATCATAAATAAAAATTGCATTGTGCATTATTTCTTAATTTAGTTTACAACGGGGAAAGATTTGCGTACAGGATTCCAATTCTAAACTTGTTTTCCCATCCCTCTGAAACGTATAGCTGTCTTGGATTAGCTGAACAAAAAGCACGTCTATGATCACGTAACAGGGGCCCAGTGTTAACAATATTAGCACTCACTTCCGGTGTGATCGGACAAAGGACCGGACGTTCTCTCTGGGGATCGGCCGAACCTTTCCTTCCAATCAAATTGATCTCTGTTGATTTGTAGCCAATCACAAAGTCCTCTGTCAAAATCACAGCTCAAACCGTGTAGACCTACAACAGATGAATAATTATGTTAATATTTGTTTTATAGTTACGTGTGTTCATGACGCAAGCACAAAAATAAATACAGGTTTAAAATGTGTTTTAGAAGATCGATCAACGCTACGTAGACAGTTTCTAAAATTTGAAAAGCTATACAGAAGTATAATTGCTGTCTATTTCACGAGTGCTATTGAATACCGCTGGTGAAATAATTTTCACCATGCAACTGAAATAAATATACCACAACGTGAAACTTTTTTTCAATTTGGAATGACAACAATGCTTTCATGTTACGAACGTGTATGTGAAATGTCTAACTTCTAACATGTTATCAATCGTACTGCTTGCGGATAATTAACAACTTACCGTCTGGGAAGAAATTAAGCATAAAGATAGCAAAGATTCCCACGGAGTTACTTGAAATGGTCATCTCGTTCATTTCGTTATTGGCTGTATAGTAATGTTACATGTAAGATAAGTAACGGAATGTTACGTGCCGGAAATCTTTCGCTTAATGCCTTTATGCTATCTGATAATTGATACAAGTCGCTACACACGTACATGTATGCACATTGTACTATTCAGGATAACGTGATAGCCTCCCTCAAGGAACTCCGCAATGTGGACAAAAGATAAAGAGCAAAGATAACGGAACTTAGCCTTCACAATGACCAAGAAAAGCATGTTTTTTTTCACAATACTCGCAAAAAATCCTGGTCATGTTATAAAAAAGGAATTATGTTTTTCATAGCATATGGAAGCTTTAGCTCCCTAGAATGAACACTTAATTGCTAGACATGTTTTAAAAATTTCATATGAAATGGGTACCCTTTAAGATTCAATATACATGTATACCACACTACCGATAACATGCATGACCCCCTTAAATATGTCAAATGATGCTGCTCCAGTGACTCCGTGTTGAAAGGATCAGTTATGATATTGTCAATACGTTATACACAGAGTACACAAGTACTCAGATTTTATTCTGACAAAATACACAAAATAAGTACAGGATTTTCAATGCTTTGATAGTCGGCTCGTAATTTATGTATACATGATTTTAAATTGTAATTTCGTTTTTCCTAGCTACCTTGTTGCTTAAAAATAGTATGTTTATGCTAATGCCTGATATTGTCTATGCATCTCTATCGACATACACGTATTTGCATTACAGAAAATTGACAACGAATCTTGATTTCTTGTATGAAACAAGATTCGATATGCTAATGTATCTATTGACACCGTTTCGTCTCGCGTAATCTCTGTTTATGTACATAACGACTACTAGAATGTGTAGGAGGTGATGCCTTGAAGTACCGTCCGAACATTAATATATTTATATCTATAAAGACGAATATTTAAAGGAAAATGATAATTGTATGGTCATTTTGAGGTATGGAATCGAAGGACAAAAACTATCAAAACAATATTGAGGATGCTGCTCTAAGAGACACGCAACGTATAAAATCTACCATGAAGTTATCATATATTAATTTGTTTTCTTTTAATTGCATGAAATCTTGAATAAGGTCATTGGATTTGATCTGTATGTAACAACGGGAACAGTCATAGACCAAGTGCTACCTCGAGCCTGCCAATACAGTATTACTGTATTGAGTTTGAATTCGCGCGGTTTTATTTTGAGCGTTTACGTCAGGAAATCAGTTATCGCGCAGTGTAAAATTAGCAGAATCCGTCTCTCGAGTCTATAATTGTGACTTAACTTTGCTCGAAAAACTTAGCTGATCATATATACCACTGTCCAGACTACTAAGGGAATAAATGTTTGTGTAGCTCTCTGGGTTTTTTCAATGTTTTATTGATCAAGGAACAATGCTCAGATGTTTTAAATGTGAAGTCTATATCAAGATCTTACCATTACACCCGGAATCGAGAATTGTCGCTAATTATGTTTTAAATCCATAATTTGAATTCAAAATCGATAAAACTTGGTTAAAATATCAACACAAGAAGGTTGATATTAAGACCCTTGAAAAATAGCAAGGAGAATAAGACCAAGTGTTCTGGAAGGGTTAGCGTTTTTTGCTTCGTCGACGACACTCGTCATGAAAATCTATGTCAAATCCGAGTAATGTCACGTCCTCACTTCGAGAACTTGTAGAGTAACAACCGAACCACAAGGCACTCTAACTACATTCAAATCACACAATGAAACAAAATAGTTCCCTGTGATATCATGATGGCGACCACAAAACTTGTTGTACTTGAATACCAAATCAACATCGACATTTAAACACAAAGAGTTGTAGGGATGTTATATCGAAAACGGGAAAGATCACGATGGGAAAGTCGAAAAAATCTTACTTATCGTACAGCTTAGAGGAAAGTCGTCCTTTTTGGTCATATTGTAAGTAGCTGAAGGATGACAGTTAGTTTTGTCCTTGATTTTAAGTTCATGTGTACTTTAAGTGTATATGCGATCTCAAAAGTTTTCACATTTGAATCTTTCGGAACATTTGGAAACCAACCAGAGCAATCCATTAAATGGAGTTGGATTTTAATTCTGAATCATGCAGTGGCAAAGGTGATTTTTTCACCTCTCCTGTGTTCACTTGTAATTGAAATATGTTTTATAATTGCACGAAACGGAAGCGGATTCTAATTAATAAGATCAAGACAAATTGAAATAATTCCCCGGAAGTTTATATTTGTTCATTATAGAAGATGTTAAAACACGGAGACCGGAAAACCATTAATCAATCATTGACGACCCCATTACCGTACCGACTGTATCGACCGGTACGCTCACGTAATGGTAGTGACGCCACAGTTTTCAGAATGAAGAGCAGCATACCTGCCTTATCAGCTGAGGTGATAGTGCTAGTAACTGGCATGACAATGTTGAAACATTCGACCACTAAATCAGACTGAACAGCCAGGTATAATCAGTTCAGTCAGAATTTATAGCTAGATATGCGCATGAATCGGATAAGGCGTACTAAATCATGTTTTAGTTAGGTCAGGTCATGAAAGAAACATCTCTGATTAGTTTTACTCGTTTACAATCAATTGACATGTCTGCTTACCTTTTTAAAAAGCAATCTAAGAATCAAAACCATTTTAGTGTATATTCTAATACACTTTTTCGTCTATAGACAATTTCGTGATGCTATTAATAGTAGGCTTTAGAATTACACCATACGAAACCAATTGAAACGCTATAGGAAATATTTAGAATTATTCTGATTTCTTTTATTAATTTAAATTGTGGATACGTTTTAACAAAGCTTGCCGTAACTCTGAAAACGTGATTACATTCGGAAATGAATGACAAAAGTAACCAAGAAGATAATGACTCACGTTCTACATAAACCATAAAATCTGGGGAAGGTTGTGTGAAAATAGATTACTAAAACAACAAGTAGCATCTAGTTTAGATTAAAAATGATATTTAAAAAGTTTATTGGATTTGATTGTGGGTTTTATCAGGCATGCATGTAGCATCCACTGTGCTAACCGGATGTATCGTGCCATTTTCAGGTTTGTAACGAGATTTTCTCGATTCCAGCAGAACGCGTTGCTGACAACTTCGATCGTAAACGAAATCGATTCTGTCGTCATTTAGCAGCAGCATTACACAACAACATGCACAAACCACACGTGTCTGTATATAGCACAGCCTATACAAAAATGTGTTACATAATTCCACGTATGGAAGGATTCCTTTGCTTGTTTAAGTACATAGCTATATCGTGAATGCAACAGGCAATTTTGGGTTTCTATTTTATTCTTTCATATTTTTTTCGTTATTTCGTTTTCTTTGTACCTTGATTTGTTTTTGTACCAGTGCGTCTTTTATATCATATTTCCCACTATATTTAAATGGCATTGGTACCATAGCAATCATTTTAGAATCTACCTTGATATATCATCGAACCACTTTATAGTTTTTTGAACAAATTCTAGGAAAACAACCGGTGGCAGTACAACGAGTGTTTTTTTTAAATATAGCAAATCCTCATTATAATGCCTCATTTACATGGTCCACCAGATATGTTAAGTAATTTGTTTGGGGAGACGTATAAAGCTATAGGTAGGGGGAAAAGGCAAACAAATATAATGACGATAAGCGAGACGGCAAACGAAACGAACGACATTATACCGTTATCGTACAAAAATGCATTTATAAACATAAAATGTAAACAATAATAGATAACGGTTATTTTTAATTAAGGCTTAATAAACAAGTGCAGAGTTTGACACCTTGACTACTGCTAGCATATAAGTTTTAAAAAACACGAGATATAGTTCTCCGTCCATTGGAAACCTTCGATTGCACTTTTGTAAAATGAATGAACCCATCAAGTTCGTTGCAAAAGTAACTAGGTCAAATTTCGAAATCATTGGTCTTTGATAGAAGACAGCCTTTGATAAAAATACAAGATAACCTATTTACTGTAAAGCCGGAACTAACATATCAACTGTACTGTAAACAGCCTAATCTATAATAAATCCTTTTATCACCTATAATGTGACAAGTTATGGTTGAAACAGATAAAGCACACCATATTATGTTGGTATATACAAGGTATGTAGCATAAAGAACGCAAAAAAAAAGATCAAATCACCCAAGTAACACATTCCAAAGTAAAGTGATACTGTAGTAGACAGGTCAGAAGACGAGAGTTTGTCACCAACATGACTTCGCGTTGTGTAACTGTGAATGTTGTACAAACTGTTAAAGTCTTGGAACAGAAAACCAGTAGCCAACAGTCAACTCCTAAACCCACCTTCAACTTCTTTTTATCCTGACTAGTCGAATAGTTAAAAAAAAAACCAGTTTTAAAACATCACCAGAGTTCAATTTCTACGAGGATATTATAGATTTAAAACCAAGTTTTGTTTCATTTAACAAACAAACAAAAAAAATCAGTTAACTGAGGTGTAAAGCCTGTAGAAATATGGAATGCAACAAAATATAACTGGCGACAAAATATACCCAAGGGAAAACATAAACTTAACAAAATAAGTAACAAAAATGAGACAAATTACAAAAGTAAATGCATGGGACACTGACTCGAAAAGTTTCCTTGGCAACTCTCCGTACACACATTTCTGATTTGTTAATAGGCCCAATTTGGCTAGTACAATAGCCTAGAACATATATCCGGTACTGTATATAGCTATAACTATCTGCCTACGAGACAGGCTAGACTTCCGCCCTCCCTTAAGGAAACACTACATAATAAACACTACAACCTCATGTTAATTCTGGGGTCAAAAGGCCTAAATGGTTTTAAACTGCATTGTAAGCTTGCAAGTACAAGCTATACTCTTGTGATAATTCCGCACTTAATTTTCTCTTACTTAGGCCTTACACAAGTTTGGAAGTATGGTACTGAACTTTAAGTAGTCTTCATCAGCACCAGCATCCTTCCAGACTTATAAATACATTCAAGCAATATTTCCAGTTTAAAATCTATATAGATTTTCTTTTCTGGATTTTTTAAACATTACAACAGTGAACTGTAAAACTTATTTATAGCTTATCTATATCTCTGGAGAAAACCGTTTTAAATTATCTACATGTACACTGACTGCTGTTGCTCGCCTATCTTTTTGTATTTTGTAGGTCAAAATTGAGATTGTCTC